GATGATGATGATGATGATGATGATGATGATGATGATGATGATGATGATGATGATGATGATGATGATGATGATGATGATGATGATGATGATGATGATGATGATGATGATGATGATGATGATGATGATGATGATGATGATGATGATGATGATGATGATGATGATGATGATGATGATGATGATGATGATGATGATGATGATGATGATGATGATGATGATGATGATGATGATGATGATGATGATGATGATGATGATGATGATGATGATGATGATGATGATGATGATGATGATGATGATGATGATGATGATGATGATGATGATGATGATGATGATGATGATGATGATGATGATGATGATGATGATGATGATGATGATGATGATGATGATGATGATGATGATGATGATGATGATGATGATGATGATGATGATGATGATGATGATGATGATGATGATGATGATGATGATGATGATGATGATGATGATGATGATGATGATGATGATGATGATGATGATGATGATGATGATGATGATGATGATGATGATGATGATGATGATGATGATGATGATGATGATGATGATGATGATGATGATGATGATGATGATGATGATGATGATGATGATGATGATGATGATGATGATGATGATGATGATGATGATGATGATGATGATGATGATGATGATGATGATGATGATGATGATGATGATGATGATGATGATGATGATGATGATGATGATGATGATGATGATGATGATGATGATGATGATGATGATGATGATGATGATGATGATGATGATGATGATGATGATGATGATGATGATGATGATGATGATGATGATGATGATGATGATGATGATGATGATGATGATGATGATGATGATGATGATGATGATGATGATGATGATGATGATGATGATGATGATGATGATGATGATGATGATGATGATGATGATGATGATGATGATGATGATGATGATGATGATGATGATGATGATGATGATGATGATGATGATGATGATGATGATGATGATGATGATGATGATGATGATGATGATGATGATGATGATGATGATGATGATGATGATGATGATGATGATGATGATGATGATGATGATGATGATGATGATGATGATGATGATGATGATGATGATGATGATGATGATGATGATGATGATGATGATGATGATGATGATGATGATGATGATGATGATGATGATGATGATGATGATGATGATGATGATGATGATGATGATGATGATGATGATGATGATGATGATGATGATGATGATGATGATGATGATGATGATGATGATGATGATGATGATGATGATGATGATGATGATGATGATGATGATGATGATGATGATGATGATGATGATGATGATGATGATGATGATGATGATGATGATGATGATGATGATGATGATGATGATGATGATGATGATGATGATGATGATGATGATGATGATGATGATGATGATGATGATGATGATGATGATGATGATGATGATGATGATGATGATGATGATGATGATGATGATGATGATGATGATGATGATGATGATGATGATGATGATGATGATGATGATGATGATGATGATGATGATGATGATGATGATGATGATGATGATGATGATGATGATGATGATGATGATGATGATGATGATGATGATGATGATGATGATGATGATGATGATGATGATGATGATGATGATGATGATGATGATGATGATGATGATGATGATGATGATGATGATGATGATGATGATGATGATGATGATGATGATGATGATGATGATGATGATGATGATGATGATGATGATGATGATGATGATGATGATGATGATGATGATGATGATGATGATGATGATGATGATGATGATGATGATGATGATGATGATGATGATGATGATGATGATGATGATGATGATGATGATGATGATGATGATGATGATGATGATGATGATGATGATGATGATGATGATGATGATGATGATGATGATGATGATG